TCCAGAAGCTAAAAACAAAATCCCATCAGCAGAGAAATTAAAATCCCCCCCCCCCTTTCTGATACGCAGAAACTGTAAACTCATTAAGGATTTGTCTTCATCAAGCCAGAAGCGGAGAAAAATGACGGTTTCATAGGTTAAAACACCAGGACACATGATCTGTGCAGCAAAATTGTTCCTAAAATAGTTATTTACACAAACAAGCAGCCCCTCGTGGTCTCGCTGTTGTCTCAGACCTTCTGCAGATGCCCTGCTCTTCATTAAAATTTCTCCTTTGCAAGATTTTGACCCGGGTCAAGCCGATATACCCTTAGCTGCCTGCAGAAAGTTACTCCCTCCTCTGTAGTCACTGGAAAAGTTCACGAGGGGAAGGGTGAAAAGTCCCAATTAAACGAGGAAGCAGCCAGGATCTCCGATGAGTTTAAAAAAAAAACCCACAATGACTCTAATGATGAAATATTCATGCCAGAGAAAATGCAGAAGGAATGATGAAATGGGCAAGAAATGGGTAAGGGATAGGTCAGGCATTCCAAATGATTTTGGGGTGGTCGGGGGAGACGGGCATCTCCAATTGGAGATATTTTGACCTTTGGTTTTGCGGATTGACCTCTGGGCTTTCACCGACACAGTGGCTTCAGGGTTATCCAAATGGACATATGGAAAGGCGTTTAGAAGCCCTTCTGTTTTTAGCCCTGCAGAAAAAAGATGTGGAGACTCTAGAAAGAGTGCAGAGAAGAGCAACCAGGATGATGAGGGGACTGGAGGCTAAAACATATGATAGACGGTTGCAGGAACTGGGCATAGCATGGCTAGCCTAGGGAAGAGAAGGACCAGGGGAGACAGGATAGCAGTCTTCCAATATTTGAGGGGCTGCCCCATTCCTCTATGGCAGTCCTTCAAATGTGAGTTACTAATACCACTCTATAAAGCCTTAGTAAGGCCACACCTAGAATACTGCCTCTAGTTTTGGTCACCACACTATAAAAAAAGATGTTGAGATGCTAGAGCAACCAGGATGATGAGGGACTGGAGTCAAAACATATGATGAACGGTTGCAGGAACTGGGCATGGCTAGTCTAGTGAAGAGAAGGACCAGGGGAGATAGGATAGCAGTCTTCCAATATTTGAGGGCCTGCCCCAGAGAGGAGGGGGTCAAGCTATTTCCCAAAGTACCTGAAGTCCAGACAAGGAATAATGGATGGAAACTGAACAAGGAGAGATTCAACCTGGAAATAAGGAGGAATGTCCTAACAGTGAGAAAAATCAACCCATGCAACACACACACACACACACACACACACACACACACACGCTGGTCTTGTTGTATTCAGGTCTTTTCCCGTGCAAGATTGAGATTGTCTTATTATTCTAATGATTATATATTATGTATTGTACATATTATATATTATAGTCTAATTATTCTCTTGTTGAAGTATTATGGAAGGTATTGAAATAGAGAAACACCCCCACAACATGAATAAACATGAGAATACCTCCCGCCTATCAGACATCTGGAAACCAGCCCTAGTCAACGAGCCCCACCCACCACCCAGGCCGCTACAACACGAAACAACAACGGACACACAGCCAGCACCAATCAGCACCAATC